GCAGGAATTTTAGAACAAACTCTGCTGTGACTGTGTATTTCATAGTCACAACTTTATGTGTAATGCAGACTGAAAACACTGAAGTACTTTCAGTATCAAGCTTATCCAGGAAGAGCTTTCCTTTGGTAAACTTAAATTGACAAAAACATGCTGATATGAAATGCTAAGTTAAAAATAAAATAAAATATATAAAAATAAAAATAAAAAATAAATCAGTGTAGCTGTTCAGAAGACACTGATTGTAAGGCAGGTTCGAAAATAACCAGAATGCTCAAGAAAAGACAAGTCTGATTTGATCAAAAATAGGGTGGTATGACTGTGTAAGTTTTACATGGCTAAATCAGGAATGTTTTTTTGGTTTTTGTTTGGTTTGTTGGGTTTTTTTGTTAGAAAATTCCTTTCAGATAATAAAGCCCATCCTCAGATTTGGAAGTTTAGAGTAACTTACCTTAAGGCTTTTTTGCATGTTTAAGTTAACATAATCCACCACTTCCACTGCCACATATGTAAAGAAAAAAAGCAAAGCATACTTCAAGTGTCCATATTGGGCAGCTAAACAGCTCAAAAGTTCCAGTGCCAGTCATTGCACTTGTGTCTCCAGACGCCTTACCTCTTTAACTACAAGATCAATGTTTATAATTGGATTAAAGTACAAGGCCCAGTAAAACAAACAATTGCAGACAAACTGAGGAATAAAAGGCCAAAAAATAGCAACAAAAAGACCCTGCGTTGACACCTTCCAGAAATGTCTCCACATTCTGTGAGGAACAGTCCTGTGAAAAAGGAAAGGGAGAGGCTTAGAGGAACTTTCTGCTTTGTTTTTACCATTCTAAGGAAAGTTAGTATGTGTTGCAGCCTCAAGTAATTTAGCCCTTAGGCACCTGTAAAACATAAAAGTGTGCACTCCAGAAAAAACTTCCTTAAAATACTGTAGGACAAGCTGTTGTGTGAGGAAGCATTAAGTCAGTTTGCACAGCAGGATGAGGGGCCAGATTCCAGGTGTGTTTCAGGTTAGGTCCCTGTACCCGTGTCCTGCCCCCTCGCGGCCGACAGGGAAGGGAACAACCCAGCACACCAAAACGTTAGTTCTGCCGTGCAAGTTCTAAAAGTTACAAATCAAAGATCACAGCAACTATGAAGTGATATTAATGAATGAGAAGAACAATTTTGATCACCTGTCAGAAATAATCAGTGTAACTACACTTATTTATGATCCTAGGACTCATCCTTTAGTACCTGTATTGTAAGCATAACAAAATTCTTCTGTACTTAGTTCTCAGCTGACAGCTAACACCAGTTCCCATAAAAGAGCAATGCTTAAGCTAAAAGTTAATATTTACCCAATGCTTAAGTACATGCTAATTACCATTATTGCATTTGATGCATTGGGATCAGTAAAAGCAGCTACAATAAACCCCTTCAAGTACTCACAGAAATAAAGATAATAAAGAGTAGGCACTAGTACATATGTAGATTCAGATTGACATGTTCTTATTAACCTCTGAATTGTGGTTAACACTCATTTCAGTGAGCAACTGTGAAATCATAAGACTATTACTTTCTGTTTATAAGGCCATGTAAGTCCTACCCTCTTCAATAAACTCAGTAAGACTTACTTCAGTTCTCTTCTTGACCAGAGCCTCCAGAAAGAGAACAACTCCAGAACAGAGAGCAACATGGCATTTACAATTATAAATCTTGAGGTCCAGTAGTGCACATCCAGCCAATCCCAAGCAAATTCAGCTATCAACTGGTATGGCAAAAATAAATACTTTACAATGAATTCTCTCCACTGTTTCCAAGAAGGATCTTTAAGGTCCTGTAAATTAGCATAAAAAGGCTGTTAATAATTTCCTATTAGACAGACATAATACTGGCTTATTTCTACTATTCTTTTTTTGAAACATTGGGGTTTTTTACATTGAAAACAGTAATTTATCTTTGCTATATTTTCTGGTAGATAATATTATAATCTGGTAATTTCCATTAGATTAGAATAAAACAAACACAGCCAGACCTTGAAATGCCATTTGCTATAATACAGGTATTTTGAGTGAACAACCTTTCTATAGTAATTTGAACTTTAAAAAAAAATCAGATTCACAGATAACAAAACCAAAGAACCACTTACTTTCTAGGACTTGGTTTTTTTAAGTTGTAAAGAGATGAAATGGTGAATAATTACATCCTGTGCTTTTATCTGCTGGTCTTTTAAATGCTTGTAACTAAAAAAAGTAGCATATTTAATATTTTGAACACTTACAACTAGTTTTGTGACAATATCTTCATACTTGTCTTCTTGTGTAGGGCAAATTGTGTGGATGAAAGGTAGGAAAGCTTCTGCATAATCAAAGAAATACAGGTATAGCATACTGAGCCTTGGAGAACTTTTCAGTGCATAAAGAAGAAAGAGCGATTTTCCTGGATTTACTGCCTGAAAGGTAGAAAATGACCAAGTTTCAAACAATGAAAAAGTAAAATGAAAGGGACATGCCAGATTGTAGATTTTTCTGGCAATCATTTTTTCAAAGGATCATTTTTCAAATACACCAGTTCATTAGATTTTTACAAGGGTAATTCTACTACCTTAGTACTTCTGGCTTTGAGAGAGTTTTCTTTTAAATATATTATTTTAAATATACTTAATATATGTGACAGACTTTATACAAAATTTACCTTATATTCCCAAAGGTTCTGTGGTGGTTTAACACCTAAAGTTTTCACACATTCCAGTTCTGCCATAATGGCTTTTCTATGGTTGCTGTTCTCTACATTGTAAGGGGCTTTTGTGAAATCCTCCTCTGTCAGTGTTAGAAGGAGTCTACAAAAGCAGAATTCAGAAAGTAAACAGTGCCTCTTCACCAAAAAGATATCACTAACAAATTAGCAATTGCGTAGTGAAACAATAAGCCACTGATAGAAGGTATCACCTTTTGGATTACATTCCATAAAGTGTTCTGAATCAACTGCGTCTCAGAGCCTGGGTTTTAAATATCCTTCAAGTTTTCTCTTGCCTGCTTTCAGCATGCAAATTTATCAGCTTGTTGGCTGTTACTGAATACAGCTCTTCAGTACGTCACAGATCTAGTTTGGTCACCTGAAATCAAACTTAGAGCTCCTGGGTGGAGTGCAATAATGCATATAGCAATATGCATATTTTCGTAAGAAAGAAAAGCGGGAGGGATGGATAATAGATTAGTAGAATTTTGTTGTCAGTATCATTTCAGTCTGCACTGTCAGAATTTTAAAAAGCTCTTAGAAAAAAATTCATTTAGCTTGCTTAGTATCTACTACTAAAGCTTTCAACTACAGGTGTTAAATATTCCCACAATCTATGGATCAAAGCATGGTCACTTCACAATATACCACCCCTAATAAAAGCTATCCAGTAGTCTAATCAAAAGATAGCTGTTCTTGACAATTAGGCCTCTCACCTTCCATTCACTTTCTCCAGTAAAAATCTTTCTTTGTAATGCAATGCCCATGGACCCAGCTGCTCCAGCCAAACTATCACTTCCTCAGCAGTCCATTTAGCAACAGGCTTATGGACAAGAAGATCTTCTTCAAATTCTCTGCTACTCCAGTGATATCCGAGCAGAACTACCTACAGGTAGATAAAAAAAAAGAAAAAAGAGAACAAAAAGGAAAACAAAAACAATAAATCA